GCGCGCACCCAACAGGGGCGAAGCCACGACCGGGGGGTGGGGGTGGATGAAGGGGGCTGGGGGCGGGAGGGGCGCTGGAACCCCGGCACCTGCTGTTGGCTCCCACCGGCCGCCCCGCCGCCCACCCTGGCACCCTGGAGCCTGGGGCAGGGGCGGGGGCCTCCACCCTCATTCGTCCTGCCTGCCCTCTTCCACCCTCCCTCGGAGCGCAGCCACTTCCTCCACCCTAGCGGGAGCCGGAGGGACAAAAATATTTTTGAAAAGTACCGGACCAGGCTAATCCTTTCTTTCTTGCTAATTCACCGAAATAAATGAGGTGGCGAAAGCACTTTACTCTCCTTTTCTGTTCTTTTTAAATTAAGAACACTTTCTTAAACTTCTAGACCAGGTCAACCTGCCGGAGAAGAGAATAGTCTGCTATTCAATACACTCATTGTCTTTTGTTTCTGTTTTCCTTTTGAAAGTGCTGGGTGTTAAAAAGAAGATTGTCCAAAACCGTGGTGTCAAAGCTATGCTCTGCCAGAAGTTTGAAAAATGTTAGCACTGGGCTCTGCGAAGTGGGATTATAACCCCTTGCTATTTTCTCTTTTATCATTAGCCATAGTTGGCAAACTTGATACCTCCAGCGTGCATATTAAAAGGAAAAATATTTTTAAGCAGAGAAGTGTAGATTGGGGTCTCAAACTTGTTTGTTTTTAACGCAGTTCCCCACCCCCCCTTCCTTGGGATGGTCATGAGGTTGGTTAAGCAATGTTTAGTTTTGCCTTTCAGTTTTGCATTTGGAAGTTGTGCCAGGTAAGCCTTTCAAAAACAGTTTTCACAAGCTAAAAACTGTTTCAGAAATGCCCCACTTTTACCCGGCAAATGTTGCTATATGTAAAACGGGTCATAATGTGTTTATAAAATTCTTGGCGGGCCTTCTAGCTCGCAGGCAGCTAACTACACAGGAGGCATCTTACAAGGCATGTTTTTCCCTCCTGAAAACATGGACCTCCCCATTCCATTCGTTTCCAGTTTTTCCCAACCTTTCCCCTGGTATTCTGTGTTCCTTTTTAATAAGGGGAGTCCTGGTGGAGCTGTGGGTCAGACGTGGGACTGCTAACTGCGAGGTTAGTGGTTCAAATACAGCAGTTACTCCCTAGGAGAAAGATGAGCCGGTTTTCATCCACGGCTCTCTACTCCTATACTGAGGGGAGGTCTCTCAAATTCGTGGGGGCAGCGCTACCTACAAGGTCCCCATTATCCATCGGGCACTGAGTTTGAATGTTTGGAACTGGAGCATCTGAGACAGATGACTCCTCTGGTTCCATCGGGACACCTGAGTTCAGGGCTTGCTTTCTTGTTGGGTTTGCCATTGTCACCCAAAATGAGATAAAATGAGAGTCTTGAAATCTAGGATCCCTTGATCAAAGGTTCTCACATCATAATGTGAAGAGAACCTTGAATATCAGGGGAGTAACTTGGGTTCCCAGGGTGCACATGGTCTAATTCCTGAATGGTGACTTGAGATGTGTGCCTTTCACACAAATGCCGAACTGTAGTTCATGATTTGCATCATGAAAGGTACATATCCGTGTAACATTTTGGAATGTATCAGAAAATAAGATGGATTGATGCATCTACCAGTGAGCAGATGGATGGGTGGATAGACAGATGTGTGATACAACAAGAAGAGCAATATGTTCATGGTAGAATCTAGGTGGTAGACGCTTATTTCAATTTTTTCCTGTTTGCTTTTTTTTTTTAATAATACAATGTTGGAAGAAAAATCCACATTTAATATTAACTTACCTCTCACACCTGCTCCTAAGTCACCCCAGGATCCAGGTGGCAGGCTGTTTCCAAAAGGCTTACAAGGAGAAGTAACCAGCCTTGTTTCAATGCCTCCTGAAAATCTTCACTGGCTGGAGAGTGAATGGCTGGTGATGTCACTATTGTGACATCATATGGCTTGTGAATATGATTTTTCATTATTTTACTGCTAAGAGTCTCCAGATGACATTCTGCCTTAGGCTGAAAGCCTACAATTTTAAGGTCTATTCTAATGTGTTATAAGCACCAGGCAGGGAAATTTCAAGAGAAAAGAATTCAGGAAGCATATTGGTGGTGTAGTGGTTTTACCCAGGGGGCTACTAAATGCAAGAGCAGTTTGAAACCACCAACTGCTCCTGGGAGAAAGATGAGACTTTCTATTCCCATAAAGAAAGAGTTAGTTTCAGGAACCCACAGGGACAGTTCTACAGGGTTGTCCTATAGGGTTACTATGAATCGGAATCAACTCCACGGTAGTGAGTTCGCTTTTTACTGCCTCTTCATAATCAGGCAGTTGTGAGCATTTAGGAAGCTCTGCTTGTATTAGGAGCATTCTGTTACGCTGTCGGTAGCATGAAAAAAGACAATGTTCAGTTTAAATATCTGCAGCTCATTAAGGTAAGGATGCCATAAAAACAAACAAAGCAAAGGCATGGAAAGTAAAGATTGTATGGGGTCAGCTGAGCCACTGAGAGTTACTTGTGGTTATTCATACAATAAAATATACAGTAATTACAAAGAATGACCTTTACAAATCCAAAAATAAGATACAGCTCTAAGAAACACTGTTGAATGAACCCTGATACAATGTAATCCGAATTATGTGTGTGGAGGAAAAATCTCACATTGACATATAAATGCAGTTATGTATTGGGTGCTCAATAAATGCATATAAAATGTAATAGCAGGAGACAGATCTCGAAGGATGAAACATCATCTTAAAAGTAGCTTCATCATTTCGTGGTGACCATCCTTCCAGATCTAGCTCTTGCTTTACTCGGTGGCAGTGAGTTTTTGAGTTTTAAAGCAAGGGAAGTAAAACAGGCAAGGGGAACTTGAGTCTCACTGAGATCTTCATTTCAAATTTCCCGCCGACTTTTTGAAAGTATGAGTACATGACCACTTTGAGATACAATTGCCATCCCATAAAATTCACCCTATTAAGTTACACAAACTGGGGAGTTTGGGATGTTTACTAAATTGCACAGCCAAAAACTAAAATAAATAAATAAATTGCACAGCCATCGTCACAATCCATTTTAGTCTTTCATTTACCCTGTAATGTATTCATATAAAGAGTAATAGCCTTTGCCATGGCTCTGCTTGGTGCTTTCCCTCATGAGGAGATCAATGAAGAAATGGGTGCTATAGGAAAGTGTGAAGAAATCAGATGGTGCCTAGTTATTAGAAAAAATAGCATTTGGGGTCTTGTCTCAAAACAAGTAGCCATTCTAGCAGCGATCTAAGTGAGGAGTCAGCTGAATCCACATAGAGCCACACCAGCCCGTGTGATCCAAGGATTATAAATAATGAAATCCAAACCCAGAGGAGGGAGTGGTACCAAAGCCTAAATTCTAAACACCCAGTTTGGGGAGTGATATCCATTTGCAGGGTTTCCATGTAAACTGAGTCACCATTGAATTCCCACTGACCACAGTATAGGAATGTGCACAGCTGTAGAAGACAAAGAGCATCGGTGGTAAAGAGGGTTTCACCAGTTGTAGTTAGGCTGGAAGGGAAGACTTTGCCATTAGGTCTCCTTTTTGACCCATTTTGAATTTATTCTGGGTTTCTAATAATTTTGCTTTCTTTTGATTGAGATTTTTCTCTATTTTATTTGGTCGTTGTTGCTGGGTCTTTTTGTTTTGTTTTGGGTGTTTCTCTGTGTAGGAAAATCAGGATGGGTGGATCTATGAAGTCAGCAGCTGGATTAATAATTACCTGGGGGCATTGAGAAGGGAAGTTGAAGGGGTAAAGGGGGAGTCCACAGCAATGGGTTCAAGGAAGAAGAACATGTTCCGAAGTTGATTGCAGTAATAAATGCACAACCCTTCTTAATATGATCTAACTAGTCAATTGTATGATATTAATTATATCTCAATGAAAGTTTTTGGGTTTTTTTTAAGAGTTTGAATCTTGGAAACCCACAGGGGCAGTTCTACCTAGGCCGACAGGGTCACTATGAGTTAGAATTGATGTGACACCCATGAGTTTGGGAGTTTGGGTTTTCTCTGTTAAAGAATTGGGGTGAGATGTATCCTTTTAGTTTAGAAGCCGTGACTCATTTTCCTTGCTGTTATGGTATGCTGAAAGGCTAAACCCCACCTCCATCAGAGCGGTCCCTTTTGTGACTCCATTTTCTGGCTGAGCAATGGTAGAAGCAGAGATCTGCTTTGACTTTCAAACACATTTAGATTCTGGTTCTAGGGCCTGCGTCTGGCTTAGAAGGGCAGTTTTACCTTATCCCATAGACTCGCTATGCGTCTGAATGGACTGGCTGGCAAAGAATGAGTAGATAGACCAAAAGGAGCCCTGATGCCAATGGGGTTGAAGTTCTAGGCAGTTCACCAAATCATTGGCAGTTCAACCCACCAGCTTCTCTGAGGGGGGGAAAACACGGCAATCTGCTCCTACAAAGATTTACAGCCTTGGGAACCCTGTGGGACAGATGGCTTCCGTTTCATATGGTCTCAGTGAATCACAATCTACTCCAAGGCAACAGGTTTTGATTTGGGGGTTTTTGCTTCTATAGGAAAACCAGTTTCCTGAATGCTTTCGTCTGAACTCCTGACTAAGCACACCACTGTTGACCTTTAAGTTTAAAATCAAAGTTCACATCCTGATGGTCCAAAGGGTACTCATCACTGATAGCTCTGGGTAAAAACAAAACCAAACCAAAACAGAGAGGTATTAAATGTTTAGGATAGTAATGCTATCTCTCGCAAACCACAGACACAAAAAGTTTATGCCTAAAGTACAGAGTATTGCAAACATGTAGAACAATACAGTGATTGATATAATATCTTTATACTTACCAAAGAGATTTTCTAAATGTTTTCATTTGCCAACTATATGCATGTTTAGGAAATCCCCCTGTGTACTCTCGTTATCTCATTTCCCAAGTGCCTGCTTGCTTCAGAAGGAAACACTCTTCAGAGGTCATGTGTATCTTGTTCATATTTTTTAACATGAAAAAAAAAAACTGTGGAAAAGGGTTTGGTGTACTTTTCCTGTGAATGGCCAGAGAGCAAATATGTTAAGCATTCTGGGGTCATCTGGGCTCTGTCACAACTACTCAACTCTGCATGAAAGCACCCAGAAGCGATACATAGATAAATGAGCAAGACTGTGTGTTCTCAAAATACTTTAATTTTAGACAAGCCAGTTTGAATTTTCAGTAATTTTTTTTTACATATCATGAAATAGTTGTCTTCTTTCTATTTTTCCCCCTCAATGTTTTAAAACTGTAAACATTTTGGAAACCATAAAAGATAGAAGTCAGGCTGTACTGAGAGGTGATTTACCAAATGTGTGAGCATATTGATTTACAATGTTTTCTTGTGACTTTACATGTTCCATAAAAAAAAGTATTCTTTATGTAAAAGTTTCACTGCTTAAAATTATCTCTATTGTGTCTATTCTCATGTCAGCATTACTAGTAATAGGGAAACAAAAGTTTATCTTATATAATTGACAATTAAACAGTGAAAACATATTTAAACTACTCACTGAACACTTTTATCTTGCCTTTTATTCTTGTCTAGAATTATTCTCCATTTTTATGGCACAAAAACTTCTTGGTTGATCATAGCCAACTGCTAAGAGTGCCAACATATTCTGCCCGTGCCCATGCTACTTGTTTCTTGACCTGTAAACTTCACTGTGTTTCATTTTGTCTTCTCTTGTGGACTATATCCCATAGTACTTCTTTCAGAAAGGATCTAATGCCATCTATGTTGCAACGATTGGTCTCTCCTCTTTGGAAGCAAAGAAGAATGAAGAAAGCCAAAGACATATGGAAATGATTAGTTTACAGAAGGACAGACTGCCACAACCCTGAGATCAGAAGTAGAGGATGCCCAACTTTCACTGCTGACCATGCTGAAAGGGATCACAATAGGAGGTGCTGTATAGAGTGGGGGGAAATGTAGACAAGTCTCAAAGTTATCAAAAAGACTGGGCTTACTGGTCTAATAGAGACTGGTGGGACCCCAGGACTATAGCCCCGTGTAACCCCGCATGACTGGACTTGCCCTCACCTCTGTGGCTCAAGTTCAGCCAAACAGATCTGTAAGGTGAACAATACCATCAGAGAAGTGCAGGCTCCTTAGAACAATCAGTGCTACAAGATCAGAGGGTAGCTTTTGCCCAGGCATAAAACTCAGTAGACAGGGATGAGGGCTAGGACAGAAAGACAAAGGGGCATGGTAAACACTGGGAGATAGTGGGCAGGGTGCTGTGACGTTGAGGAATTACAGACAATGCCATGAATCAAAATGTGTATGGAGTGTTGGATAACAAGCCAATCTGCTCTTCCATCCAACTCACACACACAAAACGTGAAAAGCAGAAAACAACAAAATGGATCGAATGGACTTTTCCCACTTACTTTGGAGCCCTGGTGGGAGCCCTACAGGCAACCTGGGTGGGACATTGGGTTGCCAAGAACAAAGTCAGCAATTTGAAACCATCAGCCTCTCCTGAGCTGAAAGAGGAGGCTTTCTACTCCAGTAAAGAGTTAGTCTCAGAAACCCGAATGGGCAGTTCTACTGGGTCCTCTAGGGTGGCTCTGAGTGGGCATCGCCTCGGTGGCATCGAGTGTTGATTCTGAGGTGTCCTGGTGGTGGGGTGAGGTAAATGTTGGGCTGCTGATACAAGGTTGGGATTTTCAAATCCACCAGCCACTCCTCAGAAGATAAGACTATCTGCTCCCATCAAGATTTACAGCCTGGGAAACCCAGGGTTGCTAGGAGTCAGAAATGACTTTATGGCACTGGGTTGGGTTTGGTTCAGTGAGGAACCCTGGTTTCACAAGTTCAGTACTTGTGGAAGATGGGCAGGTCAAACTATTCACTGGCTCTGTAGGAGAAAGAACAGGTCACCCGCTTCGGTAAAGATTAACCTCCCCAAACCAAACACTTGCTGAGGAGATAATGCCGACTCAGAGCGATCCTACAGTACAAGGTAGAACATCCCATCCCTGTCCTGCACTGTCATCTTGCCAGAAAGGGATTGCCTAATGTTCTCCTGTAAAATATCAGGCGGATTCAAATGACCAACCTTTCTGCTGGGAACTGAGCTCTTAGCCACTGTGCCAGAGGGCAAATCCCGGCAAAGATTACAACCAAGACCTCCCTGAGAACAGTTGTACTCTGTGACCTGCACTACTTGTGAGTGCTAATCAGCACCAAGCAATCATACATCTTCTTAGGGACAGCCTGAAATCTATAGAAGATGAAACATTTATATCAAAAGTATTATATATCTAGTTGAGTTTAATGTTTTTATTAGTTTATAAGGCAGATATCTTCAACATTAAAGTGGCATTATTAGAGAGAGAGAGAGAGTGAGAAGTAGATTTAAGAGTATTTATATTTTCACCTTTTTACCATTTGGCT